CAAAAATTTAAATCCAACGCCAAACGCCATCTTTTATCTTCTTGAATCTTTTTCTTTTGTCTTTTCTCCTCATTGAAGTCTTCTGATTTCCTTCCACTCCTAGTAACCTTTTGCGCCCCCGTGTCATTATCGCCTTGCTTGCAATGAAATGATTTAAAAAGGAAATTTAACGTGTGAACAAAATATTTCGAAAAAATAGATTTATACTGAGATTATATAAAGGTTTGTCCTAAGTACAAGACATTTCGTAGAGAGATACTTTCAGTCACATACACAGTCTAATTTTAATTAGTCACTAGCAGTATAACCCGCCTTTGCCCGGGTCTTTCCTTAATGGGAATTTTTGCCGTTCATTTGGAGCAGTTTAAGTTTAAAGTCAGCCCACCCGAACATTAATATTAGTAACAGTATTTGCGTGCAACTGAGGCACATCCCCAAATGGGGGGGGACAATTTGAAGCGGGTGCTGATAAGGGAACTGTATAATAATAATATTATTGCAATAATTTAAACTATTTATTTTTATTAAAGTGTTTATGAAAGATATATATCCAAGAACAGATAGTAAATAGTAAGACGTTGCTGAGAGTTATAACGGACAGGAAGTAGTGGAGAGCCATTGTCGCCAACAATTTGGACTCAAAACCGGCACTGAAGAATTATCTATCAAACAAAAAATATTTCATCAAAATCGGATGAAAATTGTGGAAATACATAAACAAAATCCGATCACACACACACACACACAGTTTGAGAATTTTAGATATAGATATAGATATAGATATATTTATTATGTAAAAACTTGTTTTTGAGAATATATTTCGTAATGGCATACTTTCAGTGTTACGTACAGACATACAGCCTCACTTAACGACTTAGGTGTTTAACGAATCAAGACAAACAACAAGTTCTAAAATCTCATAAAACAAAATAAACAGCCAACTGACCGGTGGTATTATACGTTATACGAAAACGTTGATGAAGATTTTTATTTTTTTATTTTTTATTCTTCAAAAAAATAAGAGCAGAGCAATGGATTACGGCTCGGACTGAGGAATCGGAGAGCCGAGTTCGAATTTCAGTCGAATTCATTACATTCACTTACGTGCCAATACCCTTGGAAAAGGGATGAATCAATGTTTTCCCCTGCTAGCCAGGACAGAGTGGGTTCCATAGCCTTGGTTAAGAAAAAGAAAGTCTGAATTCAAACCTTTAATCAGGAAGAGGCAGCTGAAGTTTCTGGGACACAATGAGGAAGGAGGGCCTGGAGAATCTGATACTCACAGGTCGAATAGAGGGAAGGAGAGACGAGGGAATACAACGCGTGACATACTTGACGGACTTAAGCAAGTGGATAACCGAACGTGGTCTGTGGGAGGTAGCAGAAGGAAGGAACTTGTTGAGAGCTACAAGGGATAGAGGAAGAGGTGGAGAGCCATGATCGCCTAAAACAAATCCTCCTCTGAGGGGATGGACCGGGGTAACCTCAACATAACTTGAACAAAAAGGAACCGGCAAGCCTTTGTACTATTCTGCCTTAAATGTCACCATAAACCACAATTGTGAGATAGAGGGAAGTGGTGATCAAAGTGGCGAAAAACTGAATAAAATGGTTAAGGCATTTTCTTAGATGTGGCACAAGGCCAAAAGTATGGAGCATCTAGTGAAGATTGAACACACCATTCAGCCGTAATTGATCTAACAAGTCAAGCTTGTTAACCATTGCCCCACGTCGAAGTGCCCTGGATGAGGAATATATATTAGCTTTATTATTTTTAAAAATCGTTTCTAGTTTTGGTTAATAGATTTTAAATAAAATTTGTCAAATAATTTTAGAATTTAAAGTGCAAACACTTTTTAAAAATCATTTCACCCCAAGACTAAATAGCCAGTAAACTATGGCTGGCTGATAAATTTTATATATATATATATATATATATATATATATATAAATAAAGGAGAAAGATTGGAAAAATGACCGTTGTGAATAAGAATTAACCAGAGTTAGAAGTAATTTGCGTTTTAAGAAATCAAGTGTAATGAAGAATGTATCATCCTTACTGCTAATTAATATGTGGAGAATCCAGGCAAAAATATCTCAGAAAAACATGAGCACACAACGGACAAAATCCTAGCCTCTTATCACAAAAGTGAACAAAATCTCAGTTGAAAATTCCAGGAATTTGTATTCAAATTGAAGACTTTCTTCACAGAAATTCAGGTTTTATGGAATACTTAGGTACCTCCGTGAGATCGCTAAAAAAAAAAAAAAAATAAATAAATAAAAAAATAAAAGCATAGCATGACGCCAAACTTGACGAAAACAAAACTATCGTCTAAATGTTTGTTATTATTAAGAGGAAAGATCAAAGTATTTTGGGGGTATTTTTTACATTTTTTTTTAATCGTTCCTAGCATGTCCCAAATTTTCGTTAAAAATCTTTTTAGTCAGCAAAATTGACATATAATCACGTCAACCACTTTTTTCATTTATATAAAAAAATGAAAATCTCAGTTTGAATTTTTTAAAAATCAATTATAATTTTTTTCAAAATTTATTTTAAGAAAAATCAGAAATTATGATGTTTATTTAAAATATTTTGAAACAAGCATTACTTAGTTTCTGTGCCGAAAAAATGTAGGTGACGAAAAACATTTTCATGACGTATTGACAGCTTACGTGAGCATAATTCATTCTATAGAAGGAAATTATTTAGATTTAAGTGAACAATTTATTTACCTCGTTATTTTTAAGGAAAACTTTCAGCGATCAATTTTTTCTGTACTTAGTTTTCACCTTTACGTTTTTATGGAAAATATAAAGAAATTAAAGTAAGACTGTTGAGAGTGAGATTAAATTTCATAAGAAAACGATACAATTTACAACGCGCTAAAAAAAAAAAAAAAAAAAAATATCTCAAAAGGACATTTACAAAACTGAATGCGGCTTTTAACTAATTTTATAGTATTTTAACGACTTGTAAATGTAAAAAATCTACTATAATTAAAAAAATAACATAATTGTATTAAAAATTCAGTATTTAAGTTAAATACGAGACAGAATCCACATGACTTTTTATTCCAAGCATGATACTTCCGGTCTTCCGTAGATTTTATTTGCAGCCGTATTATTGACACAAATTACATTTTTTATATACTGGTGTTCGTTCGTTTGTAAGAAGCTTTGGAAATTATAATCTGTAAATATATATCTACTTAATAACATTCATTAAATTGTACAAACTTTCCCTAATTTTAGAAGAATTAACAACATTTAATGTAAAAATAATAAAATATTTCAGAAATAAATTGTTTTAAAAATTCATTTTTTATCGAAAAATCTTTTGGCTTTCACACAATATTGTCCATGTTCGTTAAAATAAATAAAAGCAATTAAAACCTTTTGAATTTAAATGATATTTTTGTTTGAGTTTTGTATGTTACAATTCGGAGATGATATTCAGGTAAAGGTTTGGTTTCCTCAAAACCTTGTGCTTGTAACTAATATAATCACTAATCTGCCCCAAATTGAAATTATAGAGTTTTCGTACAACTAGTTGGTGGTTTGGGGGGGGTAATACATATGAAAAAAATATTTTTGCCATAACTTTAAAAAAGGAAAACATTTATAATAAGTTCCATCATTTGTGAATAGTTTCTGAAAGTTTCATTAAAATCAGACAATTATTTTTGCAAGATTTTCAAAAATAATGTCTGTCATACAGAAAAAAAGAACGCGCTGAAATTTTATACGTTACTCAGTAGTTCGGTTGGACACGAAGAGAAACAAGGTTTTTCAATCAAAATTCAGAATGTTCTGAAAAGAGGGAATTTTTAAAAAAAGAAAAAAAAAATTAAAAAATACGTTGTTCTTTCCTTTTAATACAGTGTAACCCGGATATAAGAGAGTTGTCGGGACCAGAGAAGAAGTCTCTTATATCCGGGTTTGGTCTATTTTATATACATTAACACAGGCTCTAATTTGGGACCAGAGAAAATCTCTTATATCCGGGTTTCTTATATCCGGCTCTCATATCCGGGTTACACTGTAATAAACATTTCGACGTTAAAATTTTGTTTTCGTTAAGTTTAGCGTTTTTTTCATCATGCTATGCTCCGTTTTTAGCGATCTCACGGAGTTACCTACCCTATGAAATATACCGAACATGTGAGCGTAGCATTATTAGAAAACGTGTTTTCACAGCCTAATCTATTTTTGTATACGATCTCCGTGATTTTTTTACGTTTTGGCGCAAACTTTAAAAACACCCTTCTTAATCTTAAAGCTTTCTTCACATAAAGTCAGATCTTACGGAAACTAGGACGACTCCTTAACTATTATGTCGAATATGTGACCCTAGGATTATTAGAAAATGCTTTTTAGACGTTGTATCCATTTACTATGAATTTCTATTGCAAACAGAGCCGACCTATAAACTTGTGAAATACCTGACTGAAATAGATGACTTTATTACAGGCCACCATTAATTGTGACTCTTTTTCTAGCCAAAATTGTGGCTTTTTATGAATTTATTACCTGCGGTTAAGAATAAATTTGCAGTATGCTAACATGACCGACAGTGGCAGCGTACATAGGGAATAAAAAGAGAAAGTGGTTCTTCTCAATGACAACGCAAGTCTGCATACAGCAAATATTTTGGAACACGGTTGGCCTGTTCTACTCCACCCGCCATATTCACCTGACCTTGCACCTATCGATTAACTTTTATCGATCGCTTCAAAACACTTTGGTGGGGAAAACTTTTTTTTCTAATGAAAATCAAATTCAAAAGTTCGTTGAAAACTCATGAAAACCGGAAGAATTTTACTCAAAAAGATATCGAAGAGATTTCTAAGAATGGTGAATTGAATAAATTTAATTGAACTTCTTTTCCTTTTTTAAAAAAAAAAAATATACAGTCGATAATCAAAATTGGAAATTATGACTCAGCCTAAGAGATATTTCGATATTCAGAAAGGAAGAGAAATAGAGAAGAAAAATTATGAAAAGACTAAGACAGATGGATGAAAAAGAGGAGACAGATAGATAAGAGGATTAGAGATAGTTATAAAGAGAAAGAGACAGGCACAAAGAAAACAAAAATGGAGACAGGAAGTTAAAAATGATGAAGGTAAAGGTCTAGAGAAACCGGAGAGTAGATACATATATAGACTAAAAGAGAGCGATAGCCCGATTTGAACAGACTAGGAAAGAGAGGAAGACAGAATAAAAAATGAATAGACCGAGGGAGAGATATTCCAGTACACTAGTAAGTCGGTGGATACAAAGAGAGTTAGATCAGTAGCTTTATAGATACGAATAGGCCGTTGATAGACCAAGTGGACGGATACAGTCATTCTTACATCGGTACGCACATACATCAAAGGATGGCGGAGGTCGGTGAGAGATGTGTGCTTAGGAGGTTCTCTTTGAAATAGCAAACCCTGCTGGAAGACATCATATTGGTCGACTTGGCATGGTCCCGTTTGAAAGTTAAAATCAAGAGGAAAAAAGATATTGAATTCTAACATGCGTAAAATGGCCACTTTTTGGAAGAGTGAATTCACCTCTTGGTCACGTGATTGTGTGTGTGTGTGTGTGTGTGTGTGTGGCTGGCTCTATTTCGGAGTACCAGGACACAGCCTGGACCCTACCGTTCAACTTTCCTACTTACTCCACCCCCTCAAAAAAAAATAAAAATAAAAATAAATAAATAAATAAAAAGTAAAAAATAAAAAAAATAGAATAATAAATCCCGTTCGGATACATACACACGCACGCACTCGTTCCTTAACTCCTTTCATTCATTTTCAACCCGACCTATTTCCCGCTGGCTTTAAAAAAGACAACTGCATCGAGATTTTTACCGACATCCCCCCATTATTAACAGAATAAGTAAAAAAAAAAAAAATCTGTGTATCCACATTTACATTTCGGGTAATATACAAAAAAAAAAAAAAAATAGAAAATGCTGGCATCTCGGTGACAACAGCAACTCTAAAATCTCAATGCATTTGTCTTTTTAAAGCAACGTGTATCGACAAGGGGTAATCACGTGTATTTTTTTAACGCCAATTATATAAACGAAAATGTACAAGCTCTAAATTGCTAATAACCGTTATAATATAGTGATTTTCCAAGCGTTATCTAAGTGTAAGTTCATGTAGGTTCTTTTCAAATTAATATTTTAATAAAAAAAATTTAAAAAATTAAAAAAAAGAAGTAGTAAATAAAGTTTTAGATATTTATTTTTTTTTTAGAGAAGCAAAAACTATATAACTTGACTTTTATTTCAAAAATATAGGGGAGAGCTTAGCCCCCAAATCCCCCCCTCCAGAACGGCCCTAAAATCAATTTTCAATCTACTTTTTATTTCATAATTACCGAATATTTTCCTACCTTGTCAAAATTACCAAATTTCCCGTGATATATATATATATATATATATATATATATATATATATATATATTATATATATATATAAAAATTGCTGGTCAAAATTTATTGCCGATTCAAAAAATGTATTGCTGGTAACATTTTTTTTTTCTTAAATATGTATTTCTGATTTTTACGAAGTATTTCTGCTATCAAAACCCGCTTTTACACTTTCATAGTGTTTTGACACCAGTTTAGAGGTTAACTATTTGCCCATAGCTGGGAGACTAATAGGTGCTGTCACCCCGGGTCAGGGTGGACGTGGGAACACCAGCAATTAAGAGATGGTTCCACGCTCCTCAAAACCTCCTGATTAGAGGCCTTCCTGTTGAATGTAGTTTATCGTCATACCTAGGACGCGCTAAAGCTGCTGGTTAAAAATCATAAAACCCATAAAACGAAATGGGCGTTAATTTGTGGAAAAAAAAAAAAAAAAAAAAAAAAACTTGCTGCATTCTGGGATGCGTCTTCAAGACGGAGAATTGAGAAGCAGTTTGGCAATTTTTTTTATTTTTTTTTTGAGAATGAAGTCCATTGGTAGAGAAATCGTATCCATTACACCTATGAAAGAAAGTCTGTCTTGTGCTTCTTTGCTTCCGATAACTAACTTGATCGCTAAGTTTCGCTTAGTTTTTCTCTTTGTTTTTTCGATTGGAAGCAAGCTGTCTCCGCGAGTTAGTTCAGTTTTCCTCCGGTCCTGAATATTCAGCGAACGAGACCCCTTCATATTAGTCAATCAAACGACTCTCAGTATCTGATTGAGGAAGCCGTAGCGCATGAACCGGTCCTGCAAAATATGTTTCTTCTCTTTGCCCTCGTTGTTTAAATAAGAATAACTACTGCCACCATCACTCTCGCCGGAATGCTTAACTTGCAGATGTAAAAGGACGCGTCGATTACCACATCCCCAATCTTTAAAAGAAGAAATAAAAAAAAAAAAATCAACAAGTGGCTTGTCAAAATATTCTCCGTACTCCTCCTCAGGGTTTAACACTGAGGTCGGCTTTTCTTTCATTGCAGGGTTTTCATAAGTCATCTACACCATCGCTCGAGAAAATAAGCGGACTGGCAAAATGCTGATGTGTTTCGACAATTGTCAATGGAGACGGCCAACCCCAATCACCAAGGAGGGCAGTCGTTCTATTTTGGACACTCCGACCTTGGTTATCTCTCTCTTTGATATCAGCGAAAGTGTAGAATTTCTACAGCAAATAAAATCACAATCCCCAGATACAGAGTAAGGAAAGGGGGTTGTTGTCGCGATGTTGCAAACAAAGCGGTCCAACCTTAAAAAGTGTGGAGTGCCGCAATGATTACCAGCATAATGAACCAAGTCCGAATTCCAGTTAACGCACTAATGCCCTTGGGAAAGGCATAAATCAGATTCTTCTTCTTGGTTATCATAACAGCACAACGGATTATGCGGATCCGCTTGTTAATATTTTTCAGTAACCATCTAAATCTGTCAAACTTAGTTTGGCTCAAGGTTATAACAGTCATGCAACCAGTGGGAATCGAACCAATAGCTGGAGTCTGCTTGCTACCTTTCGCTCTAAACCTATTAAAAACAAAGTACCGAACAAAAAAAAAATATCGTGGCTGGTCTAGAAGTCAAGGCACTTTCTATACATTTCCACATAAGTAAATTGTTTTCTCTTGACTAAAGTAGAATTTTTAAATTGATATTATGGTTAGGCTCGTGACAGTGAGCAAAGAAATGCATTAAGTGCTGTAAGAGATCTCTTTTGTGTTCACGTAATCTTATTTATTTTTTTGCGTCCAGGGTCTTACAACGTTTCACCTTTCTTGGCAGGTCGTCTGTTATCACAATGTGAGATACTTAATGGAAAAGGTAATAAAAAACAGAAACAAAAGCAAAGAGAAACTGAATGAGTTCAGATAGACTGCGTGTTCAGACACATCCGAGAAAAAAATAATTTAAAATTTCAGCGTTCCTCTCGATACATCACTGTATCCGACGATCGCATTTTTATATATCCCCTTCTTACACACACACACATATATATATATATACATATAATTCCATCGACAAATACATTACTTTAGTCTGGTGAAGTCTTTCTAAAGAATGAAACGATTAACACAGAACTTTTCTCACTATAACATACATTTGTATAACACTATTCTTTTAAGCATTTTACCCCAAGCAAGGCGGAAGTGCTACTAGGATGCAAAAAGGTTACAGAGAATGGGAGCAAGAGTAAAGAGGCTTGATAGAGGAGAGGATGAAGGAGGACGGGAATAGATCAAGGCATCTGAAGATGTCGATTGACATTGCATTTGAATATTTGGAGATTATAGCTATCATGAAAGCAAGTAAGAGGAAAGGAGTTCCACAGGCGAGAAGTGCGAGACATGAAGCTATTGGAGTAGAAGAAACGGCTACATTTAACCGTTTCGACAGTGAAAGGGTGGATAAAAAGATGCCAACCTAGTAGCACGTTTAAATTCATGCAGTTTGAGAACCAGCGAAGGTATTTGTAGAAAAGACAGAGGGAGGCGACGGCACGTCTGTGAGAGAGCGACTGTAGACGAGATGCCAGATCAGGGATAATCACATTGCATATCTGTCTCTAGATTTTGTCGAGGACCTAAAAATGAATAAAATTATTATTCATTATTTGAATTAAAGACACCCTAACCTTACCCTGACTTAACCTTTTTGAATGTAACTGAGATATTGATACAAATTATTAACCCTTACGCCCCCTTTTTTTAAAATAATTGCTCTAGCCGTTACCATAGTAATTTTAATAATGAATATGCTTATAAAAACGCGTAAATTTCAAGAATTAGTTATTTAAAAAAAAAAAAATTTCGCTTGAAGATGGAATAGAGCTTGGTACTTTAATTCAAATAATTATATTGAAGTTTTCGGCTCTTGTTTTGAAACACGAGAACTCTTATATAGCGATGGAATCATTCTTAAAGAAATAATTATATTTAGGCTCCACTTTTGTATCGAGCACTGTTTTTTTAAAAATAATAACAAAAATACTAAAGAATTTTGGATTATTTACCTAACGCGTTCTTTCCTATTATATATATATATATATATACCGGGTATAACAGCAATATTATCCATCCCACAAAAGGGTTAATATCTAAAAGAAATACTAAACTAATTGAGTTTCTTTTTTCCAGGTTTTCAGATAAGACGTTTAGCCATCTTGATACCATTTTGTTGTAAGAATCACTGAAAAAACCCTTTCAGTTATTCAGGTAGAAAGAGAACCGGTTAAAATCGTTTTGTGTCAGCTCCACTGTCTTCCCCATGGTAAGAGGAAAAAATTATTCAGGCCTTTAGTAATGGTAGCAACATTCATACTCTGGCTTCCATCTTCAAAGTCAATCCAAGAACCATCAAGAGAATGGTGAATAAGTTTTTTTTTTAAAAAAAAAAAAAAAAAAAAAAAAAAAAGAAAACTGGATCAGGAGGTCACAACAGGAAGAGCAATCACCATTTCAACTTAGAGCTAAAGAGATCAATTAGAAAAGATCCAACTCAATTCATAAGACATTTGGCATGTGATGGAGGAGTTTCAGCTCTGACAGTCCAAAGAAAAGGGAAAAAAACACTTGAAAATGTAATTGTACGTGAAACCTGTGAGGCACCTTGTCACACAAGGACAGAAAGTTAGAGAAGGCGAAGATAATGTTAAATAAGTTGGAAAATGATCGTGGAATTATATATATAATTCGTGTTCATGAGCTTCTGATCCCTAGCTATAATTTATTAATGATGAACATGGCATTTTCATTCATGATCGATTTCATCACGATACTTCTGTTAAACTTGGAGAGTAATTATACATTCTTATTGCTCCAACTAGAGTCCAATAGTGCTATCAAAACCTCGAAGAATTCCAGTAAGATATCTTTAATCATTTCTAAGGTTCAACGGTTAATCTAACAAATGGACAATTTTGCTGTTACACGCGATATATATATAAGAGAAAGAACAGACAGATTAAGAATCCACCGTTCTTAGCATTTACTTTTTCTTAAAAAGTGCTCTATATAACGTACAGTGAAATATAATATTTTTTTTGTTATAAAATATTTTACATCGCTACACAAAAATTTGTATGTTTCGAAGCAAACATTCCTCATCAGGCGATGTTGGATAAGTGATGATGAAAATCAGAAAATAATTCGGTAGCTCATTTGAGAGTTAAGGAGTAGGGAAAAGCAAGACCCCCCCCAAAAAAAAAACATATTTGAGGGTATGCCTTGATTAACCAACCAAAAGATGGATTCAAAGCTATAATAGAAAAGTGAGGTTAGAAGTTAGAGGTAGATGGGTTATTATTTCTTGCCTAGATAAATTGACACTTTTAAGGCACGTCAGCACAGACGACATCCGGTTACGAATATACATTTGAGATAGAGTGAAGTAGACAGAGACATTTAAAGAAAAGGTTAATTTTAAAGAATTTCAAGATTTAAAATATTTTTTATATACTTAAGGACTCTTAAAAAGGGCCCTCTAGTGTGATATATATATATATATATATATATAGAGAGAGAGAGAGAAAATAGGAAGGAACTGGTTAGGTAAATAATCCAAAGTCCCTTAGTATTTTAGTTATTATTTTTAAAAAATAGTGCTCGATACAAAAGTAGAGCATAAATATATTTATTTATTTAAAAATATGATTCCAAATCGCGACATAAGAAGTACCATGTTTCAAAACAAGAGCCGAAACTTCAATATAATTATTTAAAATAAGCTCTGTTCCATCTTCAAGCGAAATTTTTTTCTTGTTTTGAAACATGGGACTTATGTCGCGATTTGGAATCATATATATATATATATATATATATTATTGAACCCAAAATACGATATTTGTATTCAATATAATAAGTATCGTATTTTGGGTTCAAAATCGTTTGTGAAACGGTGTTCCTGCCTTCTTGTCAACTACGATCTTTAGAAATTTAAACGAAATGTCTTTCGTCATCTTCAGTCTCGTCGAATCCTGTTCTTTTATTGTTCTCTGGTGCTGTCACTGTCAGTAACCTGTAGTAGGTTTTATTAGATTGCTTAGGGTGACATATTTAAAAAATTATTATATTTTTATTACAAAATATTTTCCATTATTATATTTGATATAATAAGTATCGTATTTTGGGTTCAAAATATCTATAAAAATGATTTAATGCCAATATTATTTGCCTAAAAGATAATGCCAGATTTGGTTGTTGGTTTTGCAGCACTAAAGCAGATTTAATCAAATGAACCCTGCTTCGATTCAACCTCTAACCTTTAAGTTAGGTCGGTTGCTTTCATGACATATCAACCTATGTTGCGCTATTCAATGTCGACTATATAGCTCGATTTAAAAAAAAATATATCACTCTTCATCGATAGAAAGACCCTCTAAAAAAGATAGAAACATCTCCGATTGTCTTTACGTGACGCCCTCTAAAAGGACAAACAGGAGTCCGCTTCTTTTACGCGACTCTGCAAGTATCAAATTGAAAGCTTCTTTTATGGAAGCTTCTTATCTCGCTGTAAGGGGTGCAGTCAGAATATTCTACGTCCCATCAGCAGAGCACAGCTTCTGGCATGCTATTTTATTGGAAATTAATATAGCATTATGACAGTTTACTGCTACTGAAATATTGGTCTCAATTTTTCACTGACATAAATATGGAAACAATTCCAAAGTCTGCTGCCAGGAAAGTTGGTTCACTATGGTGTGTTAGACAACTTTTCCCGCCAGTGTCTACCTTGTACATTTATAAGTCCGCCATTCGTCCAAGCATCGAATATTACTGCCACATTTGGTCTGGTGCTTCTGCTATATATCTAGAGATTCTTGACAAAATACGAAAAACTATCTGAAACGTTATCAGTCCTAACATGGCATCTCGTCTTCAGTCACTTTCACACTACCGTAACGTAGCTTCAGACTGTCTCTTATATAATTATTTTCACGGTAATTGTTCTGCTGAGCTTTTTCGTTGGTAACTCGTATCTGGATCGGTCTGTTCGCGTATCTAACCATCTGTGGATCGGTCTGTTCGCGTATCTAACCATCTGTGGATCGGTCTGTTCGCGTATCTAACCATCTGTGGATCGGTCTGTTCGCGTGTTCGGTCGTTCGCGCATCTAACCATCTGTGGATCGGTCTGTTCGCGTATCTAACCATCTGTGGATCGGTCTGTTCGCGTATCTAACCATCTGTGGATCGGTCTGTTCGCGTATCTAACCATCTGTGGATCGGTCTGTTCGCGTATCTAACCATCTGTCGGTCTGTTCGCGTATCGGTCTGTTCGGTCTGTTCGCGTATCTAACCATCTGTGGATCGGTCTGTTCGCGTATCTAACCATCTGTGGAACCATCTGTCTGGATCGGTCTGTTCGCGTATCTAACCATCTGTGGATCGGTCTGTTCGCGTATCGCGGTCTGTTCGCGTATCTAACCATCTGTGGATCGGTCTGTTCGCGTATCTAACCATCTGTGGATCGGTCTGTTCGCGTATCTAACCATCTGTGGATCGGTCTGTTCGCGTATCTAACCATCTGTGGATCGGTCTGTTCGCGTATCTAACCATCTGTGGATCGGTCTGTCGCGTATCTGTTCGGTCGTTCGCGTATCTAACCATCTGTGGATCGGTCTGTTCGCGTATCTAACCATCTGTGGATCGGTCTGTTCGCGTATCTAACCATCTGTGGATCGGTCTGTTCGGATCGTGGATCGGTCTGTTCGCGTATCTGTGGAATCCATCTGTGGATCGGTCTGTTCGCGGTCTGTTCGCGTATCTAACCATCTGTGGATCGGTCTGTTCGCGTATCTAACCATCTGTGGATCGGTCTGTTCGCGTATCTAACCATCTGTGGATCGGTCTGTTCGCGTATCTAACCATCTGTGGATCGGTTAGACACATAAATACGAACAATCTCGGCAGCTAATGGTAGTTACCGTAACAAGAATGTACGCTGATTTTCTTATGCTAAATATTTTTCTTAACAATAATTCAAATTAACCAATAGTTGTTGGAAATTATTTCCGGATATATTTATATGAACAATATATCAAGTGAGATTCAGTCTATAATGTCTATTGGAAATTATAGACGGGAATGCCAGCAGCACGCAGGGGATTATAAAGAGTGAAAGTGTGAGAAAAAACTGGGTATGGGGGTGGGAGATTGAGGAAAAGATAAAACATGAACATTGAACCACTGCTCTGTGGAATAGACTCCCAAGAGGATGTTTCCTCGATCACTACAATCTTAACCTGTTCAAGTCTAAAGTTAACAGTTATCTTCCCCTCCTATATATATATATATATATATATAAACTACACGTTAATGTAACCCTCTACTCAGGGTGGCACCCGGCCCTTGTACAGGATGAACCTGTTAAAAAAAAAAAAAAAAAAAAATGAATGCACAAAAAATTAAATTCAAATAAAAAAAATAAAAAAAAACCTTTGAATTTCTCTTTTGCATTTTTCCAAAACAGCATCTGTTGTTAGTTTTCAGAGTTTTAAAATTATATACATATAAAATTTCAGAAATTCAAAGCTACCCATGGATTCTGCGTCCCACCACCATCATGGTAAATAACTATTTACTTGAAAATTTCTTTAAAAGAAAAGTACGAAAAATATAACAAAATAGATTAGGAAGCAAGGAAAACCATTTAAGCAGAATTAAAATTTTAAAAAGTTTTTGTTTTTCCTCTCTTTTTTTCTGCCCTATGGCGAAAGGAAATCTTGACCAAAATATATATATATATATATATATATATTTTAAAGGAAACATTGGTGACGTTGGCGGCGATTGAGGCAAGGTGGGGAGGGAGATTATTCTGATTTCCAAAACAATCAACAGGAGAATTTTAGTAAAAGGAATCACGCTACAAAAGGTAGCCTTTCTTTGAAACGCTATCCCTTGAAATTTAACATTCGCATAAGCATCAATTAGACACGCTTATTCGGGCAGAATTTTTTTTTTCTTTTTTTTGGTTGAGGGTTCCTGGAGTTGAAGAAGGTAGAGATGGGTACCGGGTGGGGTTATTTTTTGTGAAGTTAAACCATGAAATCAGAGGATTTATTTGTGCTTGGGAGTATGGTAAAAAGTTCAACTCGGCTCAATAACAGAAAAAAAAAAAAAAAAAAAAAAAAAAAGAAAGAAAAAGAAAAAATCGACGATGTCAACCTACCAAGCATTCCCGGAAGTTAGGTCGGAATGATTTTTTGAGTTGGGGAGGTACCTTATTAGGAGGATAAGATGAGATTTCCCAGAAATATGTTCTCTCTTAATTATCCTTGACTGCTTCAGGAAGCCATAGGTGATTTTATTTAACTTCTACTTCACACTATACACAACTGTGCCGTCGATCTCTCTTGAGATTCCAGAATATATTTCATATGTATTTACGAATATAATTTTCGACAGTACTGAGCGAGCTAGTCTCGCATACCGATACAAGTTGAGTTCAACCTTCACTAAGTGCCCCAAGCTTGTGATCCTAGGTCAAACTTAGCAAAGTTCGAGTCAACATTATGAGGGTCGCCGGAATAGTGATTATCAAGTTTGTATGGGAAGTTATAAATTCGATTTTGACTTTGTTAAGCTAAGTAAATTTCACTTTTTGTGATAAAGTGATTATCAAGTTTTTATCGGAAGTTATGTATTTTGTATCATTCCATGAAAACAGAATCTATGGTTGTGAGCAAGAGAAAGGGCCCTAGATTTCTGTTCTAGTTTCATTTTTTGTTTTTTAATGTATTTGGTTTCAATAATTAGACACACAATAGATCTATTCAACTTGTCAGTAACGCCTGACCAATGACAATTCCTTCGTCCCTGATTTTCAATGCATTCTTCTAGTAAATTCATCAGCAATGCAATTTCCTTTGTACATATTATAGCCCTATTCTATCAATAATGTTTACCTTAATTCCTAAACACTGACAATCACTTTCTTCTTGATTTCCAATGCATTCTAATGGTAAATTCATTAGTAATGTATTTCCTTTATACCGATTTGGTTTGGTTGATTTTGTTTAGCGGCATATGAAACCTCTGTGGGTCATTTAATGGCGAAATATTAATATTTTTAACAGTTTTATAGCGTCAACTACAGATAAAATGTATTGTTGGTCAATTTGTTATAAAATTTATTGTTGGTCATTTTAGTATAAATAGGTATTATTGGTAATTGTTTTATATACAGTGTAACCCGGATATAAGAGTTGTCGGGACCGGAGAAGAAGTCTCTTATATCCGGGTTTGGTCTAATTTATATACATTAACACAGGCTCTAATTTGGGACCAGAGAAAATCTCTTATATCCGGGTTGCACTGTATATAAAAAAAATATTGCTGGTATTTTTACTATAAAAATCTATTTTTATACTCTCACTGTTTGGGGTTCATTATTTGCTCATAGCTTGAGTCCTAACAGGTGCTAACACCCCAGATCACGGTGTACCTAGGAACACTAGCAATTACGAGTTGGTTCCACGCTCCTCAAAACCTCCAGTCTCTCGATCAGAGGCCTTGCTGCCGGATGTAGCTTATCGTCATACCCAGGACAAGACAAAGATATGAAGTACAAATTGGAGATGCCAACATCAAGCAGGTACCAAAGTTTAAATATCTGGAAAGTGTTTTAAGGGTGGATGGTAAATGTGGCACCAAAATCCGAACGAGCGTTGTAATAGCAAAAGATTCGTTGTAAAAGCTAAGCAAAGTAATAGGAAAGTGGAAAAGTTAGTTAGAAACAAAGGAAAGTGTGCTAAACTGCTATTTAAAATCAATCTTATATGGCAGTGAATTCTGGATAATTTCCTCTCAGATAAAGAGGAGGCCAGAGAGATGTAGTTCTACAGATGTGAGAATGCCTTAGAATCAGAAAGATGAAATTTATTGAAAACAGAGAGGAAAGTCGACTTGGAGAACTTGACACTCACAAGACATATCGAAGGTAAAAGATGCAAGGAGAGGTAGCGCGGCTGAACAGCTTGTATGAATGGATGGTAGAACGGGGGGGGCAACAATGGCAGAAAAGTGCTATAAAGGACAGAAGGTTATGGAGAGCCATGATTCCTCGCGCCCTGAAGGGCCACGACACATAGAAGATCCTCATAGAACGCCCCCACAATCGTAGCATTTCGTCGTGGTTAAATGATTATGCTCGATGCGTGCTCCAAATACCTATGTGGCAAGTTTATTAAATACATATGTAGTTTTGAAAACTAATTTGATGCTCATGCGGAAAGGGACTGCGAACTAAACACTATATACGGAGTCTTTGATAAAGAAAAAAAAAAAAAATAGACATTATTGTGTCATTCTCCAAAATTTCGCCTGCTGATTGTCTAGTGCAGAGTTTCTCAAAGTGGGGTCCCAGGAACCGTAAGATTCGGCAAAAGGTCTCCAAGGGTTCGTCAAGAACAGGTGAGATAAGGTAATGCACTTTTGACCTTTTATTTAGTTCCATATACGTAATATTACTGTTTACATTTATATTATAGGTATATGATATTGGTTAATTATGTTTATTTTTTACATTTGAGTTTCGAATTTTTTTTTGGGGGGGGTGAATGAAAACTCCCTGATAAAGTATTATAAACGAGCAATATGAATTTTATTTAGCATTACCGAAAAATTTGACAAAGAAATATTAATTTTTCCTTAAACTAGTTATTCAAAATGATATTTAGCAGGTGAACGACGATTGATATGAGATATGTTATATAATTTTGTTTTTGCGCAGGGATTCCTTGAGACATGTCATTTATTTTAAGGTTTACGCAAAGGTAAAATGGTTGAGGAAAGCTGCTGTCGTGGATATAGGCGTTAGTTTGTGTATACATTCACCTAGTGGATGTGGGTTCAGTTCCAAGTACAAGCAGTGGAATCCATATACTGTAGCTTGATAGAACGATTAGAAACGATATCACAATAATGGATGAACAAAAGAAGAATTAAGCCCCACCCCCTGAGCCAACATGGAAAGTAGAGAGACATCAGTCTGCGTGGTAGAATGTATGCCGTAATTCCCCATGTATAATACGCATTTTTTCTTGAAAAATAATAAGCAAAATTAAGGGTGCGTATTATGCACAGCTACCAAAAAAAATCTTTAAAAAATTGGCGTTTCATGGGTCGATTTCAGTTGCGAAATGACGACTCATCACAAACAGACGACAATTTGACACTGGCATTCGGCGGTTACGACCCCATAAGGATGTCAAATACAATCACATGTACCTAACAATACTTACAAATGTAAAATAAAATAAGAATTAACATAAAACTAAATTAGAATATTATTCTATGTTTAAAAGCATTTTTATAAGAGTAGGAAACGCTGGCCGTAATGAAATTGGAGGGGTACAATTTATAGGGTTTGGTTACCAAACAAGGTGTGCGTATTATGCGTGAGTAGAAGCATTTTCCCCACACTTT